GTGTTTTTTTTAACATAATCTGACACCCTTGATCTTTAAATGGGTAATTCTGCCCAATCACAATTATTCACAGCGTAACAATTGATACACTTAATTTTTATTCCACTTTGTATTATGTTTACTATTAATTTCAGTTTATTATCTCCTTTTCCTGTTCCTTGTTTTCCTGGTTTTATCAAGGTCCCGGTGGTGCAGTGGTTAGGAGCTATGGCTGCTAACCAAAAGGTCGGCAGTTCGAATCCGCCAGGCACTCCTTGGAAACCCTAGGGGGCGGTTTTACTCTGTCCTATAGGGTCGCTATGATTTGGAATTGATGCAACAGCAAACGGTTTGGTTTTGGTTTATAAGATCTCTTCCCCCTCTCTTTTTAATTAACAAAATCTGAGGTATTTTTTTCATTCTACTAGCTGTCGCTCCTTTTCTGAACATTCACATACTTTTTTCTCTACTGTTGTTTAAAAACACAATTCCGACTATTTCCTTAACCACTCCCCCTGCAAACCCAGAAAGATGAAACTACTTAAATCTTCTGACTTGCCCCTCAACCCAACTCTAGGTTTAGCGAAGAGTTCAGTGCTTTTAAATTCATAGTTTTCCAGTTTTCTCTTCAAAGATGTCTCTTCAGTTTCTAGAATCCTTATTAGCACTAACACTAGTTATTCCCAGTCTACCATCCGTGTCCATAATGCTCACAGGTGCTCCCCACCTCTTCACGGTCTCCTATATTGAGGGCTCTGCTCTACTTAATTTGTAATTTGGTTAGAACTCTTTGAGTATTTTCCTAAGATGGAATACAGGTATTTAGCTTGACTCTCAGCTTCACACCCTTCTTCTACTCTCTGCTTCTGGAGCGAGGACTCTGCAAACCACGTTTCTGCTTTGCAGCTGGATCCCTGATAGGCTCTGCCAACAGGGGGTGCCAGAGGGTGACTGCAAAGCTGGAGGAGGAAAACAGAACTCCCTCCAGTTTGCTTCCCATTCTTGTGGGCATCACCTTGGTCTCGCTGCTTCACACCAGCAGCTGCACTTTCCTCCTACAGCAGCAAATGGACCCAGTTTGCAGTGTAGCCAGTCTTGCAACGTCAGCCCCACTGCACCCTCTCTGGAGACACCAGCCCTCCCTACCAGCATGTTCCTCAAAAACCCGAGTCCCAAATCCATGGGCATCTTCTCCCAACTTGGAGACACCAGCATCAGACATTAGCATCAACCTCTGCTCAGAGGTCTGAGCTGCAGTTCAACAGAGCCCCTCTTCCAAGCTGCAATGTTTTAGCAACTCCTACCTCTTCCCACTGCCCCTCAGCCTCAGGGTGGTAACGGCTTGCTGCCAGTGCTACCCCTGAGGGTCCTTAGAGCTATGATGTTCAACAGAGTAGCCACTAGCCATATGCAGCAAGTGAGCACACAAAATGTGGCTAGTCCAAACTGAGATGTGCTGTTAAGTGTAAAATACACACTGGATTTTGAACTTAGTATGAATGAATGCCAAGATCTCTCATTAATATATTTTATACTGATTATATGTTAAAATGATAATATATGGGGTAGTGGTAATACACTGGGTAAAATAAAATATATCAAAATTATTTTCATCCATTTCTCCCTTTTTTTTTGACATGGCTACTGGAAATTTTTTAATTTCATAGATGGCTCACATATTCCTATTGAACAACGCTGACTTAGATTTCTTGTTTTTTCTTTGCCTTTTCAGCTCTTCAATGCCACATTAACAATTCTTACACTGAATTCTCTGTTAAAATAACTGCTGTGGGTTTTGTCTCCTTAACGGACTCTGACTGCTACCTATGAACATCAATAAATTCTCTAAATTGTTCTATATGTATATAAAACTCACTGCCTTCGAGTCGATTCCAACTCATACCAACCCTATATATATATGCATATAGTCTCTCATTTTCACCCTGACAGGTAAATGAGAGCTCAGTGAAGGATTTGGGGGCTTTGGTTCTTTTTTTCAGTAATCTATAGATGTCATTCCATCTTCTTCCAGCTGCCAGTGTGACTGAAGAAAAGTCTAAACCCAGTGTGATTCCATTTCCTTTATGAATTACTTCTTCTTTCTGTCTAGAGCTTTTAAGATTTTCTCTTTATCCTTAGAATTCAGAAATTTTAGCAGTGTATGACTAGGTGTGAAACTTTTCTCACCAATTGCTCCTACAATAAAAAGAATCTTTCCCATTTGCAGACTCCACTTCAGTGAATTGTTTTATATCATTTAATTATTGCCTCCTATAGCTCTTCTTTATTTTTCCTTCTAGAATTTAATGTGTTTGATCAAATAAAACATGCATGAGTGTCTTAGTTATCTAGTGCTGCTATAACAGAAATACCACAAGTGAATGGCTTTAATCAAGAGAAATTTATTCTCTCAGAGACTAGGAGGACAGAAGTCCAAATTCAGGGTGCCAGCTCCAGGGGAAGGCTTTCTCTCTCTGTCGGCTCTAGGGGAAGATCCTTGTCATCTATCTTCCTTGGTCGAGGAGTTTCTCAGCGCAGGGACCCCAGGTCCAAAGGACATGATATTCTCCTGGCTCTTGTTTCTTGGTGGTATGAGGTCCTGTCTCTCTGCTCAGTTCTCTCTTTTGTATTGCAAAAGAGATTGACTTAAAACACAATCTAATCTTGTAGACTGAGTCCTGCCTCCTTAACATAACTGCCTCTAATCTTGCCTCATTAACATCATAGAAGTTGGATTTACAACACATAGGAAAATCATATCAGGTCACGAAATGATGCACAACCACACAATGCTGGGAATCATGGCCTAGCCAAGTTGACACACATTTTTGAGGGACACAATTCAATCCATAACAATGGGTTTTCCCATGCACACACTTTAATATCTATCAAATCAAGATGAATCTTAAAACTGATAGTGTCTTACAATCAAGTGGCAATAATAATCAAATGCTACAAAAATCAAAAGCACTAATGAAATATTCCACCAGGTCTTGCTAAAAGTTGCTTTTCTGGTGCTCTTCTTGTTCACCTCTTTCTCTCTGGCTGCTGTGTCCCATAGGCGCCTTCTTAATTTTCACCTGCCTACTCACCAGGCTCAGGAACAGCTGCTGGGCTACCTTCAGGGGAGGCATCTGCTGAGTGGTAGGAGACAAAGCTGTCCCTGCCCCTGGCCCAGCGGTACACCACCAGCTGACAAGTGTGCAGTCCCCTATCAACGGAACAAGGAAAAAGTCTCTCTGTTCCATCTCCCCACCACCCACCCACCCAAACCGGATGATGGGGACAGGGTAACCAAGAGACACTCTCAGAGAAATTCAGACAGACTGGGCCAGCTCTGTTGACCCTTGCGTTACGGCATGCCAAAGCTAACCCGCTGGCTCACATCCACCTGCGAAATAATCTTATACGAATAAGCAGATGGTAATTAGACTGACAGATATTGGTGGTTGCGTGGTAGAATTCTCCCCTTACATGTGGGAGATCTGGGTTTAAGTCCTAGTTCAATGCACCTCATTCACAGCCACCAGCCATCTGTCAGTGGAGGCTTGCATGTTGCTATGATGCTGAACAGGTTTCAGCAGAGCTTTTAGACTAAGATGGGTTAAGATGAAAGGCCTGACAATCTACTTCTGAAAATCAGCCAGTGAAAACCCTATGGATTACAATGGTCCATTCTGTGGCTGATCGTGGGGACGGTGCAGAACGGGGCAACGTTTCATTCCACTGTGCATGGGGTCACCATGAGTCAGGGGCCAACTCCTCAGGAACAAAAAACAATCAGACTGATATTGAAAGGAGAGGACAGTAGAGGTGTACCCAAGCCTCCAACTCTGTCAAATTCTCTCCACTTTTAAAATTTCTATTATATCTTGATTTTTTTAGATATTAAAGGGTTACTAAAGCATTTAGGGCAGGATTAATGAATATAAAGTGCCGGATGGGGCAGTCAAGAACACTGTACATTATTTCTTAGGGAAATGACTGTCCTATATAGTCATTTCACTATAAGATGCCTTTCTTAAAGAGAAACATAGTTCCTCTGTACTACAAGTAGTATGAAGTCTTTCTATAGGAGTGAAAAATATTAACACCCAAGTAATCTTACAGAGGAATGGAACAACATGCTCCAGTTTGGCAGCTCGCTGATAATAATCAGGCATAAATGAAGCACAAGCCTTTGGGAATCAAGGAATAGAGAGATCACCCATCTTGCAGAACACCGCTTTGCTTAAACATTGCACAGCAGTACGTTCAAGATTCAACTCCACGGCAAGCACCTACTCTACAGTGCTGGGGTAGTACACTGCCAACTGCCATAAGGGTCAGCCAATCTCAGGGAAGGGTGGCATCCTCCTTTGAAAGCTGAAGAGCCTAAGGAAGATGTATGTGAAAACAGAAGGACAACCCCCTCCAAATAGGAGTGCATGCTGCAAAACCAATTTTGTTCTCAAAACGCAACTTGAAGCCCACTCCAACAAAAAGTTAAACAGCCTCTCAAGAATCCAAAATTTTATGTCACTGTGTGCAGGCAAAATTGTTATTATTAACTAGATAAGCACAGGCCTTACAAAAGAATCCCCATCAGTGTCATTTCTGAATAAAGATGGTCCTAGAATTTTTTTCCTCAACTTCTTTGTAACCGCAAAAGAAATATCAAGAGTTGAAGGGAACTTATCCCTCAGACAAGCTCATATTTCTGTTAAAAGTCACCTTGGTGTGTACAGGAAGAACAAGACAGTATCAGCGCCCACGACGCCTGCTCCCCAACACGTTCTCCTTAGAGAACAGCAATCAATTTTCATGCCTCTCTGATACTGTTCATCAGCTAAAAACGCATTCCTTGGCACATGTCTTATTTCTAGTATTTCCTATGAAATCATGCAAAAGAAAGAGAAATTCTAACAGAAATAAACTGGTTTGAAAACCACACTAAGCACAATACAAGATTTCATTTTAATTTTCACCTTAAACATAAAATGAGATGACAGAAATCTATATATAGGAAGAGCAAAACATACAAAATTCTGTATGATTAATTTTAGGGTACCTCCTCTTCATTCTCTTACTTCGTGTCTTCTATCTCTGAATCAAAAGTTAAGTCACGGACGTACTTCTAGAAAGAAGAATCACCACTCAGAATTCACATCAAAGACAAAAATAACACAAACAAATGAAGTCACGTGAAATCAAAATTCATTAAAAAGTACCTTTTGCCAATCTAACACAAGGACCATAGTGTGAGGACAAGGAGTTGGCCCACAGGACACAGAGCAAGCACATCGAGGTCTTGCCCCTTGAGGGTCTACCGTAACACTGAAACCCAAACCCACTGCTGATTCTGACTCATGGTGACCCTATAGGACAGAGCAAAACTGCGCCACAGAGTTTCCAAGGCTATAAATCCTTACAGAAGCATACTGCCAAATCTTTCTCCTGCAGAGTGGCTGGCGGGTTCAAACCGCCGACCTACTGGTTCACAGTCAAGCCCTTTAACAAATGCGCCACCAAGGCTTCTACCCTAACACCAGCTCAGCTCATTCCAACAAAAGGCTTTTGGCTCCATGTGGTCCTTTCACTTTCTATTCCATTTATTTTGTTATTCTTAGAATAGAAGATTGTTAATATATGACTTGTATCAGTTAAAGGAAAAAATAGATACATAGTAATCTACTACTAATAATATTATAATAGCTTCCACTTACGGAGGGCCTCCTTCTACCAGGCATTTTAACAGATGTTTTATATACATTATTTCATTTAATCCTCACAAAAACCCCACAGAGCAGCTGTTCTTGCTCTTCCAGAGCTAAGGAAACTAAAGCTGAGAGACGTTACACTGCTCAGAATCACAGAGCAAAGTATGTGCTCGAACTCAAAAACCACGTGCAAGTCACTCTCTGACATCTTGATTGTAAGAACCAAAATGCTTAAAGACACTCAAAGTAAAGTGCTCAGTGTTCAAATATTAATAAACAGCTCGAGTCTTTCATCCATTTGTGCAGGGCACTGCTAGGTGATCTGGCATTCACTTGGCACTAATGCAATCACCAAAGCAAACACAGTTACTGATATCCACAGGGCAACAAGTAGCTGAGGATAATCCAGAACGTGCTTCCTTATTTTTTGGTTCCCACAGGCACCTAAGATTGAAAATATTGCTATAGCACAATTCCAAAAGTACAGATCTGCATTTAGAACTCAGTGAAGACGCATAAAACGAATGATTATATCGCACTGATTATGATGAAAAAATACTGTGCATAATACTGTACAACAATTAAAAGAGGTTCACATGAGGTCTTTTTCCCGGAGTTACTGAAGTTGATAATGTAATAAACTGATTAAGTTGCTCAGTAAAGGCATAAATGCCTTGTGCAGTCCCTGGAAATGAGAAGCTGCAAAGGTGGGGATCCTTCCACATCCCTTCCCTCATAGGCAACATGGCCTCAAAGTGAGAAGGAGGCAAGGAACGAGTGGTGCTGAAGGAATGGACCATTTACTACGGAGCAGCCCTTCAAGAAGGCCGCTGCAGAGTAGTAAACAACGCGAGGGGTCGGAACTGGAAGATTAACTCCAGTTAAAAATATCCTGGGCATACTGCCTACATGCTGCACAAATGTTTAACAAGGTAAAAAACTTCAAAACGATTCGGTAAACAGCATCTGCTTATACAAACAAAACTGTATTTCCACCATGTGAACAACCATTTCCAAATTTCAACTACACTATAGGCCTGAGGAATAGGGGCTTTTTAATTATGCAATATTAGTCATTGACATAGTGCTCAAATCCCACATGGCATGAATCATGTTAGCTAAACTAACAAAATGAATAATTTAACTCACAGCCAGCGGGAATTCACTATACCACCTTCATTATTTACTTTACACTATCCATCCTATCATTTTTGAAATCACAGCTGTAGGGGTTCAGGAGGAGCCCACAGCTACCTATACAGTTTCTTACCTATATATCACAGGAAACTTAATCTACCCTCCATTCCAAAAAATCTAGACCATCAAGAATATTTTAAATCAGTCTACACCCTCCCTTACTGACTTCCCTCATTAAATTCTAGCCCATTAAATGTTAACTGTTAATATATGATATAATCAATATAACACTTCAGATAAAGCTCATAAGCCATGTTATTGCCACTGCACAAAAATAATGTACAAGAGGTATCTCCTTATCGATTGTGAACTTTCACCCTTGCTGCTATGTGAATTTTCCTATAGCACCAGAAAAAAAGAGATTTATTTCCTTTTTTATAAGAAAGAAAAATTTTAGACACACAAAAATGCTCCTATCATTTTCCTTCACAGGAAGAATTCTATGACTTCTCGCCATAACTAAAAGGGCTGTGAAAGCAGCAAGAAACCAGATGCGTTCACAGCAATCCCGAACAAATTTTGTCACAGAGGCCAAGGTTGAACTCCATCACTCCCTCACACTTCCGCCGAATATCAAAAGTTTCCCAGTTGCTCCACAGTTCACGGGAGGCCTATCTTGCCTTGATTTTGCAGAAATGATAGCTCGTCATGGAGATGTGAAAAATGGTCCCAGGCAAAGATACTGCAGTCCTCTAAGCAGCTAGAATAGTACTCCCTCGTACTTAACTCTCAGTTAAAATAATTTTAAAAATAAATAAATACTGTCAAGAAAGAAAAATTCCAGGGCAACTATAAATTTCATTAAGATGTATAGCAGATGTTACATGAAAGATGAATATTCATTCCATCTGCCTGCCACGGCAATCCATTTTATCTTTACCGTGATTTCCAAACACCCCAAATCGAAACGCTTACATTATACAAAAATTCAACTACCACATGTTTGTGGTGCAAACAGTTTGTCATTTCTTGCTTAGTTCAACATGACTAAGTTTGTTCATGTATTTTGACAGACTTGCACAACATCCTAAAATGTTTTGAACAATGCAGTTTAGGCTGGGATGCAATATTAATGAATGAATAATGTTCCTGAATATAAGATTTAATATTTAATGATTCAGCATGCTGCCTTGGATTTGATACAGAATAAAAATATGGTTTGGAATCACCGCACTTAATCAGGACCTGAGAAAAAGACTACAGACTCTGGGCAAACCTTTAACCCAAACTTTGAGCTACGGTCTCAGTTGTAAAATTGACACTTGGCCAACTGAATTTCTAGTCTTATCAGTATTTACAGTATCACACCATTTATCCAGGGTCATTCATCAGAATTTTTAAACTACTGGGGGCTCACATGTCTGTGTCAAGAGGTAAAAAAGAAAAAAAAAAGGAGGAGGGAATAGTGCAAAAATTACACTGGGAAGTCTACACTCAAAGACGTTGGGAATCAAATCCGCTGGTTGCATCAACATGTCAATTTGGCGGTTATTCCTCTTTTTAAAAATGTGTGAAACTGTAATAAAATAGCAAGTTCAGATCAAATAATAACTTGTCTCCACATCTTCTATGAAGGCAAGTATTTCATCTAAAGGACCACAGCCAAGTTGGTTCAGTGCATCCATCCAATCAATGAATGGGTAATCTGCAAACATTATTGAACTTGCCTCATCTGCAAACAATCCTATGTCTTAAAAATAAGCATAGGAACAGCAACAAGAGTAGGACTTATTAAAATCAGTTAACTAATACCCAAAACCAGAGCTGTGAACAAAGGTCTGTAAAGTACCCCTAACAGGAATGTTACTATTACTGTGATTTTAAAATAACACTCTACACCGAGGATGAAAATAAGACCCAATTCCCAATATTTATCTCCATTTATAGTTCACAATAGCCATGTCGATAGTCACCTGGGTTTAAGACTCTACTCTACCACACACCAGATTCATCAACGTAACTCCTCGGTGCCTTTGGTTTTCACATAGGAAGATGGGAATAGTAACACCCTACCTACAGTAAAGGATTGTTTTGGATTCAAACTAAATAATACTGTTAAGCACTGGCTGAAACAAAAAGCAACAAAGAAAACTCTATTCCGCGTTTATTGAGCACCTACAATGTTGCAGGAAGGTGCTGCACAAAACTCTTCATTTGCCTTATCACTGTGGTTGTTACAACAAAAAGAGCAGGCAATGGCAATTTCTAAATTGCCTCATTTAGTTTTGATAATAAAGGAGGGACACGAGCACAAAAATATGGGCAAATTATTTTCTCTAATATCTAAACAATGAATGTCATATTTTGATAGTTTACAAAGTATCTTTTTAATCTGGAAAAAAATTGTCAGCAACACTCAATGCTGTATTACTTAGTTTGATGTAACATGTTTCAATCTTTGACTTAAGTATTCATTGAGCATTTACCATGTGCTTAGAACAGTACACAAAGAATTACGTTTTTTAAAAAAAGGCAGATTCTACCAACTACAGTATCACCCCTTTCTTTGTATCATATTTACATAATGCTATTAAATTTGTTCTATTCCATTTTTACCAGATTAGCAATTATGTCACAATTATCTCAAAAAGAAACAAAAGTGCTTAAAAATTTATGCTGCAGAAAACTTGGAAAGTTTGCCAAAGGTAGGTTATGAATTTCATTCCACCATCGTCGGTGAGAGTCATCTTTTTCTGTTAAACCATTTAAAAGAATCTGCTGCAAATTCAATGAAAATCAGGTAATTCCTCCTAAGAACCAGTCCTGATGCTCCTACAGATAATGGCATCCCTATTCAGGGCTGGCAGGGGCACGGACTCCCTAATCAGACGGTTCTCAATCCAAAAATCTATATTAAATCACAATAGCTTTTTTTGGTTATTTGCTAATTTACAAAGAACTTAAAGGTGGAATAACATTTATCCTTTTTTATTTTTTTAAGATACACATGCTTACAAAGATGTCCGGAAGTATACATAAGAAATTGTTAACAATGGTTACTACTGAAGAGTGAGGTGGGGGACTGAGCTTTAACTTGTTTCTCTTCTGTGATGCTTCCATTTCTTTTGTGATTGTCTTATTTTAAGTAAAATAAACTGTTGGTGCAGGACTAACAGAAATATAATGCAAACTACATATGTAATTTTAAATGTTCTAAAAGCCACAATAAAAAAGTAAAAAGGATTAGGTTAAATTAGTTTTAACAATGTATTTTATTGCG